GCTGTGCCCCCTCCTGCCTCTCTGGATTTTGGGCTGGGTGCCAGGCGAGGATCACAGATGGGTATCCTCACCCCACTTGCTTTGCAGGGGGTGGAAGTGAGCGAGGAGCAAGCTGTTCATCCTGGCTGGTCTCCTAGCTGGAAACGGAGCCAGAGAGAAGCCAGCTCCCTCGCACTGACCCGGAGGCACCCGTCCCCTAGGCTGTGCCGGCAGGACCCCCCCAGATCAGACCTGGCTGGCCCCCGCCCCTCTTTCCTGGAGGCCAGGAGCAGCACCAGCTGGCAGGCATCGCCCTGCACCCCCCCGGGTAGTGCATCCTTCTTTCACCTCTCTCCTCCACCCTTGCCAAGCTGCCTGGCCCCACGGCAAGAACAGCACGGCGTGCCCCACCGCTCGCTGGTTCTGTCACGCACCAGGACCGAGCTCAGCATCTGGGTGCAGAGCCCCAGCTGGGCTGGGGGCCAGGGCCACGAGAGCGAGAAGAATGGCTTTGACAGCAAAGTGGGCGACCCTGACTGCCGAGCACCCTGGTTTGCCTTCGGGGGGAGGCACCCGTGGCCGAGGTGTGAATGCCAGCCCCAGGACTCTGCTCTGACCCCTCATTTGCTGAGTGGCAAATGCCTCATTACAGTGCATAGTTAAAAATCAAGGAAGCGGTACAATAAATCTGAATTACAGTACATCTGAGCCATAAATACATTTTTAAGTATATACTTTTTTTTCCTCTTCTATTAAAAATTAGTTTATAATCCTGATTCTATTCACAATTAACAATTTCATCATCACACACTACGGACAAAAAAATGTTATGGTGAACACAGCTGCAACTCCACGGCGGGAGCACGGGGGGGACCGGGAGGGGGAAGAGGGCCCGAGGGGCTCCTAGGCTCACCCTGAAACAACCAGTCAGAAGCGTGGGGACTAACGTGTGGCAGTGAGACATCAACACCATGGGGACTCACAGACAGAAGCAGCTTTGTTCAATGTAAACATCGATCTGAAGGGACAGCAGTCTCTCTCTCGCGCGTGCGTGCTCTCGCTCTCTCTCGCTCTCTCTCGCTTTCCATAGACTGAATAATTTCTTTGAAAACGTAAACATATTGGAAGTGCCTTGACTGAGGTATTGAGGTATTCCTCCAAGGTTAAGGCTGTTACCGATGCAGGCTTAGCTGGGCCTCCTGCAGCAAGCTGTCGAAATCCATGGTCTCATACTTGCTTTTCACTGGAGCTGAGGAGGACTCCTCTGCGCTGCAATCTGGGAACGGCAGGGACACAAGGCAGCCGAGTCAGGGCTTGGGGCATGAGCGTGCTCGATACCTGGCGGGGTGGGAAACTGAGGCACGGCAGGGCACTGCTCACTCCCCAGCTACCCGCATGCTGCATCCTGGCACCGCAAAGCCAGCCTGGACAAGGCAGTGGTGGTGAAAAGGAGTGGGGATGGTGGTGTCTCTCCCTCACTGAAAAGAAGCAGTTGGGCAGAGGGGCTCTAGCAGTGCCTGGCCCGGCAGGTCACACACCACAGTCACGCAAAAACTCTGAGGGATGCTGCTGAATTCCGAGGGGCTGGCGCAGGGCCGTCCCTCTGGGAGCTGTGCTGGTGGCGGAGACGGGGTGGCTGCCCACGCTCCCCAGAAGCTGAACAAACAGTGCCACCACAAAGCGTGGGAAAGCCAGCAAATGCCAGAAATAAGGCTGCTTAATTTAACAGCAGCTTAACCCTTTTGGGTGGATATTTCTGAATGAGCCATGAATGGCATGGCTGCATTTCACCCCTGTCTGTGGGCTCCCCATCTCACCCTGTACCAGGAACAAGCCAGGCTGTGCAATGAGGGGATGACTGCTGGCCTTGCAGCAATCTGCAGGGGGTTCTCCTACGCAGGGGGCTAGCTCTGGCCCCCTTCCCCAGAGCACTGCACAGCCACATGCCAGCACCTTCACCATGAGGCGCTATCTGTTTCCTATCTTCTCCATGCCAAAATCAGAGGCCCTGGGAATTATTTAGATGAACAGCAGGCACTTGTGCCCACAACCAAAGTCAGAGGGATTGCTGCTCTGAGCAGATGAGATATTACAAGGTGCTAAAGATCAGCCAGTACTTGTGTCAGAGCTAAGTCAAGACCTAGGGCTTTATTTTCTGAGCCTCGGTGTCTCATGCATGAATGGGATACTAGAACCACTTCACGCCCTGCAGAAGGTACAGAAATTAATGCACAATGCTCATGAAACACCTGAAGATGACATCAGTGAGGGCTGAGCGAACCCTGGGTCACATTTCTCTCGCAGGACTAGCACAGGGTTTTCCTCCTGTCTCTCAGCTTGGGCTGCAGCCCTATCACCTGCGGAGGGACGGGATTCAGTGAGCCCCTGGCTAACGCTGTTGCAGCGTGAGGCAGGAGGTCTTGCAGTAGCCCACACAGCGCAGAAAGACTTAATGCAACAACAGCACCTTGCTGTCATTTTGGCTCAAAAAGTGCATGTGCAGGGTGGTAAATCTGTCCTGCGGAGCAGCAAACCACCCAGATCACCTCTTGGGCTACTGAGATGTTGCTGACTGCTTTCTTTAATGACTGAGAAGGGATTTCTCCACTGGAAAGCATCCAGTGCTGTGCAGAAATGCAGCAGAGACAGGATGAGCTGTGGTCAGCTGAGACCCAGCAGCCCTGCGGTGTGATGCTATGTTTTGCAGCCAACACATTCCAGGTCCTCATGCTAGTTGCTTTTCTTCACTCCCCCAGGTTTCCAACCCACCTGACTGAGCCAAGAGCAGCTATGTGAGCCATAGGAGAGATGGTGAGCTCTTTCTGCAGGCTCTAAAGATATTTAGGATCCTTGCATGACTAGGGATCAGCAGTGCAATGTGCCGTCACAGCTCTGTGCTGATAAACAAGACACTTTGGAAAGGCACCTCCTGCTTTCTTACCCAAGTCAGTGTATCTGGTCCAGAAGAAGTGCCCGAGGCCACCAGAGCTGAGCTGGAATGAAGGCTCATTCCTCTTCCTTAGCGAGGTGCCATTCTTCAGAGATAAGGCGGCATGCTCTGAATATCGGTAGGTGATGAAGCCGTATTTATCCCCCCTGAGCAACCAAAGAAAGAATTCAAGATGAAATGGGCCCTGCAGACCCTCTGATGCCGATTTACCCATCACTACCCCTCTGGTTCTCCATCTGGCCATCCCTCCATCCCTCCACCCTACCATCCCTCCATCCCACCAGCCTTCCCCATGCCCATGGACCTGGGGACACGCATCTCCTCATCAAAACACCGAGACCACGGGCTCAGCTGGCTGAGAGGGTCGGTGTGGCACAGAGCACTTCACCCCACTGGCACAACTGCATCACACGCACAGCTGGAAGCAGGGGTGACCCTGCACTGCCTGGCAGCGCTGATGCTCGCTGGGCAGAGGGGTTGTCTGTAGGTGCCAGAGCCCCAGACTGCAGCTCGCTCCCCACCCACCTGTTAGTCCTGGACAGGACCTGACATTCCACGATTTCACCAAAGACTTCGAAGCGTTTCTTCAGTTCACTGGAGCTCATGCTGCTGGAGAGGTTTCTGATATACACCACCCGGCCTTCCCCCTGGCAAAGCAAGAGGAAGTTTTCAGGCTCCGGGACCTCGCATCTCTGAGGGATGCTGGAAATGTGGGGCCATCAAAGAGACCCTGCAAGCCAGCACCAGCCAGGAATTAGGCTGCAATGGGGCAACACCACTATGGGCACAGCCTGACGTCTCCAGGCATCACAGCCTGACTATTCCAGCCAGCTCACGGGTGCCACTCCCAGGACACCGCTGCTGCAGGGAACACCCATATCCAGGCTGAAGCAGCCACTGCCCCTTTCTTCTTTTTTAAATTTATCCTGCATTCCTTCAGCTTTTTCAGCTTCTCCTGGTAAAGATGCAGGGAAATATTCCCAGGAATTGCTAGGGGCAAAATTCAATTGTGTTGCAGGCAAAAAATGCCAGAAGGGTATGCGTGAGGGCGCGTGTGTGTGTGCAGAACAGTACGGAGCACCAAGCTATTTCCCCGCATGCCCACTCCCCAGCCAGGTCTCACCCGTGGGCACGGGGTGAGTTCCCATTGCACGAGGCTGCCTCTGCAGTGGGATGGCATCTGTAATGTCTGAGCAGCTTCAGGGATTCCCCCACAAACCCCGCTAACTGCCAAAGCCAACTGCTCTGCCGCACTGGCATTTCTGGGCCAAGGACTCCGTGTATTGCCAATTGCTGGCGGCTGCCACTTCATGCTGGGTTTTCCTCTCCCCCCTCCACCCCCATGTCCTTGTTTCACACTGGCCTCACACCAGCAGATGCTGAAGCCAGGGCTAATGGGCTCCACAGCTGCTTTGTTGGAGCTGGAGATGAACTGAGGGCTGGGGACTGCTTTGTCCCGGCACGGGGTCCCTGCTCACTTACGATGGCCTTTTCCCGCCTCTTCTCCAGCTGGCCCCGGTGCCTGCTCCTGCCCTGACACTGCTCGCTGTTCTCACACCTGGGAAGCGAGGAAGAGGAGGTCAGCCCGGGGGACTGGGGAGGGATCTAGTGTGAAAGGCTTCAAATGTCAAAGAGAAGCCAAGGCAGACAGCATCTGCAGCGGCAGGTGGGCACTCCGGAGCACCAGCAGACGAGGAGAGATGGGGCTCTGGAAATGCTGGAAGGGACACTGGGAAGCCCTTTCTGACAGATGCTGGAGGAGGTTCCCAGCAGGTGCTCACCCCCTCCCAGGCATGGCTCTTGCCCCTGCCCATGCCCCATCACTCCCAGCACCACGGAAACCCCTGTCTGCTTCGCCCCAGTGCTGCTTTCTCTGGCCATGGCTGATGTTTGCAGGAGATGCTGATGTAGTAGCAATTATTTCAGTAGTTCTTTCATCAATCAACATCTTTATTGCTTGAGCCAGCAGAGCAGAGACAGCTGGGGCTGCCACGCACTGGGGCAAAAACCCAGGGGCCAAGAAACAGTCCCATGTGCCCTCCCATGGCTCCCCTGTACCTGAAGGTACGTCTGCTTGCGGGTGATCGGGACCGGCAGCACGAAGACCCGCTGGCCCTGCTGCGGGAACAGTAATGCAAACTGGTCCTGGAAAGGGGGTTTCTCCGCAGGCACAGCTTGGTGTCACCATGCTCCTCCTCCTCTTCCTCCTCCTCCTCCTCCTCCACGGGGGAGCCGCTCTCACTGCAGCTGTCTTCAAACACGGTGTCATACTCAGGGGTCTTGCAGAAGATCATGTCCTCGTCATCGAGAGCACTGTCCAGAAAGCCAAAGTGCTTTGTTAAGCTGGCTCTGATCTCCTGGTCTCTCAGCTGCTTGACACCGTCCTTCCACAACATCTCGCCACCCGCCTCCTTGCTGCAGAGGTCCAGTCCCTGGTAGTGGGCAGCCGGGACCCTTCTCTTGTGCTCCATCTCCACCTGGCCCGGGGGCTCCCACGACTTGAGCACCTTCCTCTGCAGGCTGGCCTCGGGCTTCAGCACCTGGCAGTAGTCGTGGTCCCCAAAGGAGCGGGAGAAGGGTCGCTTGAGCACGCCCTGCTGTTCGGTGAGCGGTGGGCGCCCAGCGGCTCGGCTCAGGTGGGCGAAGAGCTCTGTCCTCTCAGGGTGCTTCCTGGGGGCTTTGCGGGAGCCTGCCGTGTCCCCTGCACCCCCGGGGCTGGGTGTCATCCCGTCCTCCTTCCCCGGCTCCTGTGGGATGTCTGGCTTGTGTAG